AAATAAATTGAATGAATTTAAATTTATAGATATTCCTGATAGCTATATCGAGGATAAAATTTATGATGACCTGAAATCGAAAGTTAAACAATTTTTTGAAAAAGGAAAGTGTTTATATCATTCTAAACAATCTTGTTTCAGTCAAATTGGTTATGAAAAATTTCTTGCACGTCGGGCTGAATTCAAAAGTTTAGATAAAAATATGAGAGATATGGTTATTAAAGGGCAACTCGCGGCTTTTCAAAAAAATGAAGATACAAGAAAAGTTGCTAATGATGATAGAAAACACGTGCACTTTAGATATTGTTATAATGATGATGTTCCTGTTTGTCTTAATACATATTTAACTCTTGTTGGAGTTAGTCGTACATATTTAGATAACATAAAACGGCATTTACAAGAGCATGAATTTGAAGAATGTAGACATGGAAACACTGGTAGAGCCCCCAAAAATATGAACTGTATTGAGGTTAATTATGAAATAGCATGTGATTTATATAAGTTTTTAAAAAACTATTCTAACATACACAGTATGCCCTCACCTGGACGTCATTGTAACAAAATTTCTATGCCGATTGTATTTCTTCCAACTAGTTTTAATTATGCTTCAGTATATCAGGATTATGTTCAAGCTTATAAAGATAAGCATGGGAGCGATGCTCGTATTATGTCTGAATCAACTTTTACCAATATCTGGAAATCATTAATCTCATCTCTTCAATTTATGTCTGCGAAGTCTGATTTATGTAAAACTTGCAAAATAATGAAAATGAATATTCAATACACTATGCAGTATGAAAAAAAATTAGAACTAACTAATGATTATTTGGCACATTTAAATCATGCACAAGAAGAACGTGACTATTATAATGTTAATATTGTAAAAGCTACTGAAGATGGTAAACGTAATTCAAATATAGTTAAATCTCAAATATCATTTAAAATCTTTGATAGGTGTACACATATTGCGTATGATTGGGCCCAAAATGTGCAAATACCTTATTCACCGCAGCAAATAGGAGCCTTATATATTAAAAGTTCTCGAAAAGTTCACTTATTTGGCGTTTGCAATACTGGTAATTTTCCACACACACAACAAATAAACTACCTAATCGATGAAGCTGAAATGCCTGACAATGGAAAGCAAGGAAAAGGTTTAAACTGTACTTTAAGTTTAGTTTAGCATGCAATTTAAAAATATAATCGTGGAGAAAAGAAACTTATCATTGTATGTGATAATTGTACAGGCCAGAACAAAAATAACTATTCATTGTTTTTTTATTCGTGGTTAATAGATCGTAGTATGTACGATGAAATTGAGTTAAACTTTATAATACCTGGATACACAAAGTTTATTTGTGATGGTTGTTTTGGTCTAATCAAGATTCTCTACCAAAAAAGTAAAGTAAATACGGTAGATAATGTGGCCTCGATTGTTAATCATTCTACAACAGTCAATTTCAATGTCGCTCAGCGTTATTTTAATGGACAAGGCTTTCAATATTATAATTTTAAAAATTATTTTTATATATTTAAAAAATCACCTAACATTCAAAAATATCACCACTTTTATTTTACATCTCAGCATCCCGGGGTCGTCTCTTATAAAGATAACCTTAAAGATAATTACTCAAATTTCACAGTTCGTTCTTTTTCTTTTAATATTGATACCTTACCCTCTATACTTGGTGTCAGGCTGCTTTCCTTAAAAAGACAAGAGGAGCTATATAAAGAAATTGCGCCTTATGTCGATCTACCATTACCTGTCCTCAACCAAAGGTTCAAAAATAAATAACTCATTACGATGTGAGTTGTGTAAAATTTATAGTTTAGCACAAAACAATTTCGATTATAAAACAAATTTAGTTTATTTAAAACTTGGCATAAAATAAGTTCGATCTATATTTAGTTTGACAATGAATTAAATAACTTGATTAACTTTGAAAACTGAATTCCAGAATCGACTTAATTTGATTTGTCAAATTGAAAAACTTTCAAAAAATGAAATAAAATAAGTAGAATGGTAAAGACTTATAAACCAGATTTTTATAATAAATAAGTAATTGTTACAGTAATAATGAATGAGAATTTCTAAAATAAAAGAACCTAAAATCGTTATCTATTTATCGAAAAACGATGCTAAAATAAATAAATAAATTGATACTAGTAAGTAAAGATACGAAGTTCAAATTTATAATTTTACATATTTAGAAAAATAAATAAGAAACTAAGTTCTTTAAAAAAATTTTTATAGATAGGACAGTAAAATTAGTAAAATTCGGAAGTTGAAAAATTAACTGTAGATCACATGGCAATTTTAAAATGCGATTTTCTCATGATCATATGATTGTCCCAATGCATCTTTTTGCTGTGAGAGATCCCATATATTAATCTTATTCCATATATACATTATTTTTAAAATCCATAATTGCTTAAATCAAATTTTTAATATTTCATTGAATAAACATTAATCAAAACTTTTTTTTTGTATATATTAGTCTCATTCCATATACACATTATTTTTAAAATCCATAATTGCTTAAGTCTCAAAAGTGATAACAATGCTACTACGCTATATAGAACTTCATATTTTTATAGCGAAAAAGATTAGGATAGATTAAATTCTTTAAAAATATTTAATTCAAAAACTTCCTCTAATCCCCTCGTAATCAACCAATCTTAAAAAGTTTTTTTTTTTTAAAGAAGAATCGAAACTTGTAAAAGAGTATTAGGAGCCTTCATCTTTTGTGAAATTTGAATGGGTTCAAAGGATGGTAGCACTACTTTAAAAATACCTTCTTATAGAGCATTTGTGATTATGGAAGCAAATGATTCTTCTCAGGCTTGGACTAATATACCAGGAAAAGTTATATACATTAAAAATGTGGAAGGAATGCGAAGAAACGCTATATAAGAATTTATATATATTGTTATATATATGTAATTATTCGTAGTAAGTAAAATTTTAAATTATTTACTTAATTTTATTCAAGTTTTTAGTTGACTAATAAATCTCTATTATAAAATGATATAATTATTA